TCTGGCATTTCCTTCTCCCCAGTCTTCCTCCAGACTCTGGCACCTTGGTTTCCAGATGACCTGCAGAACTGAGCAACAGTCCAGAGCTGCTTCTCTGTAGCCCAGGTCAGGAGCCTCTGCCGCTGTTTCTGGTTCTAAAGTGGCTGACCTGGGGAATGAGGCACCTGTAGCCCATTTCCTGCACACGCCTGTTCACGGCGGCTCTGGATGTTTCTACTCCAGACTCAGTCCACTACTTCTGCAGGTCCCTCAAGGTCTGGAATCGAACCTTCTCCACAATCTTCCTCAGGGTCCGCTCACCTCTTCTGGTTGTGCAGCTTTTTCTGCCACACTTTTTCTTTCCCACTGAGGTGCCTTGATGCAGCAGCACTCTGGGAACAGCCTATTGGTTCAGAAACATTTCTCTGTGTCATAGCCTCTTCGCTGAGGGTGTCAGTGATGGCCTTCTGGACAGCAGTCAGGTCGGCAGTCTGACTCATCATTGGGGTTCTGAGTGATGAACCAGGCTGGGAGTTTTAAAGGCCTCAGGAATCTTTTACAGGTTCATCTGTTGATTCAGATGATTAGGTGCATAGCTCCTTTAGAGACCTTTTTCATGATATACTAATTTTGGGAGATAGGAATTCTGGGTTTTCATGAGCTGTATTCCAAAATCATCCGTATTAAGACAATAAAAGACCAGAAATATTTCAGTTAATGTGCAATGGATCTAAAATATATGAATGTTCAAGTTTAATCATTAAATTATGGAAAATAATTAACTTTATCACAATATGCTAATATTTTGAGAAGGACCTGTACTTGTTTTTGGTTTTTTTAATATGAGTGGGATGCGGATCATTTTATTTTTATTCATTTATGTTTACAGTACATGAAAAACTCTTGAAATCAATTTCAGTTTACTTGTAAATAACTTCAATAATTCTGCAGGTGAAAAGGAATTACTGTAGGGTTATGATTAGGATAAACATGATGATAACAATCTACTGAGTCTACCGGCTCAATCTGAAGGCATTCTATGTGCCTTATAGCAGCTAATAACAACCATTTATTGGGATGATAACATCTGAAGCACGGTTGCAAACAGACACTTAGTTTTTATCATCACGGCCACAACAGACTACATATCAAAATGGCAAGCCATTTTTACTGAATGTGTATTCCTGATAGCTGAAAAAACATTTTTACTTTAACCCCTTAACATCCACCTCATTTATGGTAATCCTCGCCTATTTTGCACACCCAAATGGAAAAGCAAATAACTGAGGAACTGTAAGCTCAAATTTAGATTTGGTGAGTAGTAGTGGTAGTGGTGATTTGTTTTTCTTTATTCTCTGAAATTATAGGTCTTTTTTGAACAGCAGTAATAAAGACATTCTTGATAAAAGGCAGGTTATATTGTATTATATTTGTTCTACATCATGTCATCCATTAATGCAGACTATTTCAGACCTCTATCTATAACAGTTCCAGAGCTGTGAGGTTTGGAACATTTGGTATCAGCTTGGAGCTGTGCGCAATGGCTCCACCTGCTGGTGAAAATTTTACCGGTGGAATTTTATGCATTCTGAATTATTACTCCCACTTAAAGGAATAGTACATCCAAAACATGGTTAGCCTTCATTTTCTACTCACCCCCATGCTGAACAACACTCTGGAGTACTTTTTTGATATCTCAAATGCATCTGGAGATCTGGGAGGCTTCTTGCTGTCTGCTGACATTCAAATAATGGAGGTCCATGGCGCCCGAGACAGAAAGCTCCATAAAAGTCCACAAAAAACGTGTCAATATTCCTCCATACTGCTCGTCCAATGTATTCCAAGTGTCCTGAGTGGGTAGCATCCAGAATTTACTCGAAACGAAGTCATTTAGAATGTTTTTAGAGCATAAACAGTAGTGTACAGGATTTCCTGAAAGCGCGCACATGCGCGTTCACGACGCTACGGAAGCCGGCAGACCAAACCAGATGAAAGTGCGCATTCAGCGTCTGCTCTGCCAATAATGCAAGCGTAGAAGAAGAAATGTGCTGTTTACCTGTGCAAAGAAAGAAACAACGAAAGAAAAATGTCTGAGGACTTCAGTGTTGAGGAAGAGCATGAGTTCTTTGCTGAGCTGAATGCGCACTTTCATCTGGTTTGGTCTGCCGCGGTTTCCGTAGACTCGTGAACGCGCTTTCAGGAAATCCTATACACTACTGTTTATGCTCTAAAAACATTCTAAATGACTTCGTTTCGAGTAAATTATGGACGCTACCCACTCAGGACACTTGGAATACATTGGACGAGCAGTATGGAGGAATATTGACACGTTTTTTGTGGACTTTTATGGACCTTTCTGCCTCGGGCGCCATAGACCTCCATTATTTGAATGTCAGCAGACAGCAAGAAGCCTCCCAGATCTCCAGATGCATTTGAGATATCAAAAAAGTACTCCAGAGTGTTGTTCAGCATGGGGGTGAGTAGAAAATGAAGGCTAATCATGTTTTGGGTGTACTATTCCTTTAAGGTAATAATCTTAAAACCCCCAAAATTCTCTACGTGTAGAATGAACATTCTGGATGTCTATAGATTAATATTCCTAATATTAGTGGTTATAGTTTGCCTTATTTTAACTATGAAATGATGTTTTTTAGACATCATAAATACAGAATCATTCAAGCTGATCAATGTCAGAATGGCCACTTAAAATGTGAAAATATTTCTAGATATATAAAAATTATTTTGTTTTTACTTTTTAAAATTCAGTTTCTGCTACAAAACTGTAATTTCGAATATATATAACTACAGTTCAGTCTAGGATTGTGATTTTTACAGAAAGAATCTTATTTTAGTGATCTACAAATGGAAGACCAGAGAGGAGAGGGATTTTAATAAATCTATAAACGGCCTGCCATAGCCTACTTCATAGAAACAAATACATTACCTGGAGCAACAATCTTCTCCATCTTCCTCTCCTTTGCAGCTGTAGCGCTGTTTCTCTGTCTTTTAAACACATTGTCCTTTTTTAATTTTTGAAACAAAATAGCAATAAAATGAAATAGGCACTTCCTGTTTTCATGATTGGTGCTCCATTGATAATGACTTTTCATACTTGTTGTGCACGTGTTCAACTCTGACTGGACCTACTTGGAGTTGATTGAACTAATTCAAAGCAACGGTTGTGAAACCAAAAACTCCCAAATTTCCAAATTTAGGCTAGATCAATTCATAGTTGAGGATTTGAATCTGAGTTTGTTAAACCTGCTTGGTGAAACGGATCCCTGGCTGTTTACCATTTTACCATGATTCCACTTTTTTGTAATCAAGAGGATGATTGAACTGAGCCAGTTTAATATTAACCATGCTTGTGTATTTTATAAGTAAATTGTTTCCTTTATTAACTCTTCCATTACTATATGAATCCTTAAAAAGAAAGGAAAAAATAATGTGTTCCTTTTTAACATTGATAGACCAGTCCATCACATCAGGATGCGTAAATGCTTGGATAACGAGAATGCAAAGAGTAAACGCTCTTCTTCTTTTCAAGCCATTGCAGATGAACATCGTTTGACTGGGAGGGCTAATTGATGTAATCTTGAGAAAGGTCTTAAAATAGCGTCTTGCATAACACCAGAAAGCTGTTATGCAAGATGCCACTCTGCCAGTCCTAAATATAATGATTTATATCTGAACATGGACATTTAAATTTACCCTCCATGGACATTTTTATCTCATGTCTTACAAGGTGTGCAACGTAACCAAGATCCAGCGTGCATCTGCTGAATACGGCTTGTAAATACTTTAGTGACCAGCTAGAACATGTTTCCATCTTTCTTGGAAATGAAACTTTGGGAAACTTCTTATTAAAAGGAAGCTTTTAAAATAACTTTTGTTTCGATTCTTTTTGCAAACTTTTTATTTTTCATATATGTTTTTTCTAATTTTATTTTCAAAAACAGTTTTTTACAATTTTATATCAAATTTTATTGTTTAGTTGTTTTTTCAGATTGAATTTTAAGAGTTGCATCTTTTTAGATAATATTTTACACATCACATCCACTATAGTTATGGGAGCGGCATGGAGTGAGACGATACAGTTTCATTGGTCAATGTGTTCATGAAGCATTGGTCATTCTCAAAATAATGCAATCTGTTAAAACCTGAATAAAAAAACCTGAAGAAAAAAAAGCTTAAAATATAAAATTTCATAAAATATAAAATATGTTGAAAAAAGAATTCAGAAAAAAAACAACACAGCTACTCTAAAAAACATTTTTTTATGGATTACAATTATTACAAATTCTGTTTGCAAGATGTCTTCTTTTCTTGCAACAATAATGGAACAAAATTCACGCCATAAACGCTCAGCTTTTACTTTGTAGAAAGAAGAGAAAATCTGAACAAAGAATTAATCACCTTTATCACTATTAAAATTTCCATAACACTGCAACTGATATAGCGTTCCACTTGACCACAGTCAATCTTTGTAATAATAAAAAGTAATTTTGTAATTTATTATTTACAAAAAGCCATTAGAGTAGATTCAATTCCAATGTCAGAAAAAGAGTTGAGTTTCAGGCTTTATACAGAAGCCCAATAAAACTGTGTTTTTATTTAGAGAGCAAATAGAAATGAATGGGGGTTGTTAAGCTTCTTTCTTAGCCTGCAGTGCCCCATACCTGTCTATGTCTCTGAAAGGGGGGGTTGTTAAAGGAAATTGTTGGTCTGGCTGAATAGGGGAGGTCTTCTGTTCCCCTGTAAAGGGGTTGGGGTTGCGATGATAGCCCGTTCCTCCGTTTTAATTGTTTCATTTGGTTTTCAAAGCAAAAACCAGGCCTTGTAGGTCCACTCTATAAAGCTTCAACACTGTTTCTAACATTTGAACTGAAAAAGCTTCCTGGATGGGAAGAGAAACGTCTTCCAACCTGGAAACAAAGTCCTGTGGATTCATTTTTTTAAACTTTTTTGGCATGTGCAATTTAGCGCTCCTTTTTCAGGTTCTTTAAGGATCAGGCCCAAAGGGTTTTCAAATGCTTACTTCCATTTATTAATTAAACATGTAAACCTTAAATGAGAACTTCAACACTTGTCTTTTTCACAAGTATGGTTCAAGCATTTAATATTATAAAACAATGATTCCATTCATGGCTCTGTTTTCTAGAGTAGATGGTTGATTACTCCTACTACATCTTGTTTTTCTTAAAGACAGGATGCTGCTTGTTTGAGCTTTATTACAGAACACATTAAACCAGTTACTGTCTTAAGACAAGCTCCTGCCGACCCGTAATGATCACAATACTGTCCACGCTGAGGTGTTAAGTAATCAATGAGGACAAGACTGTTGAAGGTTTTACAGATATGCAACATTTTTCTTCTGGGTCTATGATAATATGGACTGTGATATTAGCTGGGAATGAAAGAACAGCTCTAAAAGTGTGCTGACATTATATATGGAATACTTCCCTCATAGGTAAAAGAAAAGCAGACAAGTTAACAGTTGATAATCAACACCATGAGGAAAAAAATACATTTTGCTTGGAAGATAGAAGATTTTCACTCTAAGGACAGAAAAAAAAAACAATACAGCAATAACGAATATGTTAGTGTTGGGGGGGTTACACTTACCTGATTTCTGTATGCATTTATTAATGAAAATAGTTTTCCTAAAGAGACAGCAAAGCTTTATTCTCTGTAACAACCTTGCTGTAGCACATAGGTTTGAAAAGCAGAGGAGCATTGCTCTGAAAGTAAACAATCTGTTCACCACATGGGGGATTCCATGAAACTGAAATAAAAACCTAATGTACAAAATATTTAACAGGATCACTGTCTAGAATGGGATGTACCTATTCAGATTAAAAGCAATCCATAATAAAAATGTCTGGAATATTCTGTACAATAATTTGCAACAGTGGAAGTCATGTCTTCACCTTCCTTAGCCGTCTAACTGTATGGAGCACAAAGGCAGTCACAGCAATGCTGATAACCCTGAAACCGTTAAATCCAGTTTATATGAGATGGATCTGAGGTCAATTTAATGCTTTCCTTCATTTTTAGCTGCTGATTGGTTTGAGACCGGCAGCTATTTGTTTCACCAGTGCAGAGAAGGAATCCCTGGGAAATGATTATCGTTTATGTTTAGGGTTACCGTACAACTTTCAAAGGTTTATTCCTTTACTTTCTCCTTTTCTACTTTCCATCCACTGTCAAAAGTTTGCTTTTAAACAGCAAATCATATTTTTTTCATTTTTTAAGATAATATCTACTAAGTTCTTTTTTTTTTATTGTGTGGTCAAGATAACAGATTATCAAGATATCCATTCAAACATACACACAATATAAAAATATGAAATCAGAACAGAGATGAGTAGATAGATGAGTTGGCCGGACAGTTTGTCCATTTTTTATGACTGTAGTCGGTCTGTTCACAGTCGCCACCTTTAGCAGACGGTGCCGTTCTCTTGCCGAGCTTTGGGGTGGGTGGATCTGGGTATTGGCTGGACTGAGGGAGCCAGGGTGCAGAAGAATCCCGCGATAAGGGTGAGGCCAAGCCCCCCCCAGGCGCAGAACATTGACCACCCATAGCCATGGCCGATGTCATCAGGAAGGCCATACAAGTAGCGTGGGTAACGGGAGAGCTCAAAGTTAATGCCAGCCACGCAGGTACAGAGGGAGATAATGCAGAAGGTTCCTGGAACAACAGAAGACGAACAAAAGTTGATGTTTAGCAGAGTTATTGAATGTTATTTTTGTGTATTTTTACATTCCTGTCATCTCTGTATACCGTATGCAGAGGCAGAGCCGGCTGGCGAGGGATGGAACACTTAATTGCAGCTGGAGTTTCTAAGCGTTACATATTAAATATATTTAAGTAAATGCTACACACAAAAGACATTCAACTTGTAAAGTTAATAAACAATGCAAAAATAATAAAATAAATTTAAGGTAGGTAAGGTATATGCTACATTTGAAAATAAAAAACTACTTCCCATTAGCCCCCATAGGTTGTTTTTGCTATTTAGGTAGCAGCACAACCAGTGTGAGTTTGTAAAGAGGAGCGTGGACTAATACATTAGATGAGGACCATAGCTTGACCAATGGGCTGCTACAGAAAGCTATGGCAAACTTTTTAAACAGAGCAGTTTGAGCAAACTTTTGCTAAGAGGTGGAGAATAATGGAGACCAAAGGATCATTTTCATTTTAGAACGTCATACACAGGCTTCAGGACACAAATCAACAGTAGAAAAGGTTCAAAATGTGAATTTAGCATAAACTGGGACCTGTTTGGTGAAAGTGTTTATTGATGGATAAATGACTAAATGTAGCGTGAAAACCTGTTGAAGTCTGCAATGCCCATCTCTTGCACGTGCCACTTTTCTTTGCATGCCTCTTTGCTCTGGTGAACTGTAAAGTGCCTTGAGATGACAAAGCAATTTAATGCCACTTATTCTGATGCTCAGGGCCATAGTAATGTTCCTCTGGAAAGCTGGTTTACATGGGAAATGGCTTTCAGTGTTCAAAGAAGTCAGAAAGCTTTTAAAATCTCTTCAAACCCTTTTAAGACTGATAAAGGTCTTGAATGGTTAAGAATTCATTAATCTGGGTTCAGCCTGGACACTTTGTTGGTTATTTTGGTTTTCTCTCTGTAGATCTTATGATTTTAGATATATTTTTACTTTTTTTAATCTCGTCAAGCCTAATATTAAAGCCTGGTTGTTACTAGTTCAATTTAACCGAGCCTCAAAAAACTTTTAACGATCCCAGCTAATTTCTGATTTAACCACAGAAGATTATCTGATAGTAATAAGCCAAACCTTACTGTCCTTAGTAACAAAACCTCCAATTTATGAGAAGTCTGCCTTTTTGTGTTTGACTTGCCATATGGATTCTAAACTTAAAAAGCTCAATCGATACATTTATGATATGGACTATGGAGTGTGTTTTATGCAGATAATAATATTTAAAGGTGCAAGTGGCATTAGAAGGCCTTAGCAGCTCAGCGCCGCTCGGCCTCCTGCGACCATGGAAGCCGCGCACCCCCGCCTCCATGCTTCTTCCCAGAAAGCCGACAAGTTCCACACTTCACCACAAATTGGTACTATGATTACAGCATATCGGGACTTTGGTCAGAAAAGGTTAAACACCATTTAAAAGACAAAAAGTGGTCCTGTGAAGTAAGGAAGCTGAGGCGGAAGCATTTTCTTGGAAGAAATAATTTATTTAATGCACTTTGGAAAGAGAGAGATAGAGGTCTCTCTGACTGAGGCACCTGACACACTCACATTCCCCCAGGGGAACAGACCCACCCCCCTGTATGGAAATCTTTCTCACACTTGAACATTTGGTTATTCCCAAGAAAAAAGACTTCAATTCATCAAGGACATAAATTTTAGCCAGATAAACATTCAGAACAGCTCTCTCGTTCACGGCATGAAGGAGGCTGTGTGAACTCATTCTTATTAGGGGTGGGTATTGCCAAAGAAGTCATGATTCGATTCAAATCACGGTTCACATGCCACGATGCGATTCTATCACAATGCATGAAATATTGCGATGCATCGTGATGCATTGTGATATTTTCACCGAACATTGTTAGAAGAAAATAGAGCCATTACCAGTGGCTGACTGGCTGCGTATGATCTGGATAGTGTTTTCAATCGATACATTGATACAACTGAATTCATACATAGCTGTATTTATTGAAACAACTTTTGGAGGTACTGCCATGAAAAAAAATACTGGACAAAAATATTACTATGACAGGAGTGGACACACTAACAAAAAGTACTTAGGATTTATAAAACTTGAAATAACAAAATAAGGATAATCAGTGCCGTTTACATGGCCTCAGTGGTCCTTTAAACCAATGAAACCAAAACATTCAAATGTATATTTCCCCTTTTGCAAATTACGTGCATCATATCAAATCTGTTTTTAAAGCCAAAATGCATCCAAACATCTGACTTGAAATGTGATGGAGCCGGGCAAATTTTCTCAGTCTCCTCCGTGTTTTGTTTACGAATGACTCGTAGGGATGGACATGGCGCCCATTAACAGCGTAGAGAAGCCTGGCTTCCTTCACAGGCTAAAAGTGTGAGCCGCCGAGTGGAAACACGACAAGCTCTCTCTGAAAAGTTAGATTCTGCTTTGTTTCTTGCAACAACTACAGTCCTTTGGTCCAGTCGATTTCTTCAGCCGTACGTGAGTTTAGTTGCATTATTTCGACATGAACTGGACTCCCAGCAGCAGCTGCTTACAAACCAGCTACTTCCCAGAAGATCAATAAGTTATTAGCTGTTCCATAGATTACATATTTCAGCAAATCAAGCTGTTTTTCTTGCACTTGTACTGAATATATAGGTGTATATTTTTTACCTATAAAAAATCAGTACAATTATTGTTGGGTGAACATCTGTGTTACTTGCACAAGATTTATGATATGCATATTTAAGTTTAATTTATTTTTACAATACGTTTATTGTTGGCTGAACATTTGTTACTTTGCAACTGAATAGAGTAAACCTATTTTAAAACACAAGCATGTAGCTTTTAAATACTTCAAATTAAATCAATTAAAATAGTAATCGTCCAAGATGGCTAAAAAAATTGAGATGTTATTTTTTAGCCATATTGCCCAGCCCTAGGCTGATGATACTCAGCTAGCTATAGCTGTCTATGAATCCTGATGAAACTAACACATTACAAAGAGCAGGGGTCACTAATTAAAAATCAGTGTGGGCCGGAAAAATAAAATTAACAACCACTAAAGGGCCGAGATATTATAATCCATTACTTTAAAAAGCATTTAACACTGAAATAAAATGCAGGCGTTTTTTTTTTGCATCCATGTGAAACACTGACTTTTTAAGTTATAAAAATAAGTGTGTTTTGACATAGAGAACAAATATCTTTTACAGTTCGGTAAGTAGACAATTTCCTGACTTTTAATCCTTTATCTTTCTTCCTTGTTTTCTGTCTTAATGTCGGCAGTGGGCTTTAGGCTGCCCTGCAAGGCTTTAAACCTGGGTTTAAATGGAGACTAAGCCATTCTCAAGCACATATCAAGGAGCTCATTTTGAGCCTGGATCCAGATTTATTTCTGATTCTGTTCATGGGGGAGAATCCTGCTTCACAGCAGCTGGTTGAGCCAAACATCCTCTAAATGTTCAGGGTAATCTTTGAGCACCTTTTCTTTCACCAGTTCACCGCAGTTCTTCCAGCAGTCCACACTTTCTCTGCTTTACCGTTTTACCAGGAGAAGAAGAGCAAGTGAAGTTAGACACTGTCGTCGGACAACATGCGGTAATTAATTTGTAAATGTTTTAAATCAGGTTGGGTCCTGATCAGCCAGCAGGTGGGTCTAGATCCGGACCCTGGTATAGTATACTCTATGACAGAGAGTAAGGTGTGAAAATATTAGCCCCACTTGAACTTTTCCACCTTTTTGTCACATTTCAGGTTTCAAATATAAAGATATAAAAGTGTCATTTTTAGAATAAACAAGTGGGACACAATCAAGAAGTGGAGTAAAATGTATGTGATATTCTACCCTTTTTTAAAATGAAAAACTGAAAAGTGTGGGGTGCAAAATTAACCGGCTCCTTTACTTTTCCTAAACTTGGATCAATGGATCTAATGCTGTAACAGGATAGCCTATACAAACTCTATAGACTTTATACCTTTCCTAATTTTATTTTATATCAAATTAAATAAAGCTGTAAAGCTGACCTCACTTTTCACACTTCATAGTTTATTTCTGACCCTAACCCTAATTCCTTTCCAAATACCTTACCCTAATTTAATACTCCAACCATAATCTCATATTTATTGACTTACCATGATAGTCTAATCATAACCGTAAAGTCAGTTGACTTCTTGCCTAAACCTAATTCAATATATTCAATATATCTAAAAATGACGTCCTATTTCTAAGCCTATTTCTAAATCGTATTTTAACCAAGTATTATCTGAATTATCTACAGCTAAAAATAGTTGTAAACAAAAAACTTAAAAGGACAGAGAGGCTTGGAGCTGGTTAGATGATTGTGATAGCGTTGTGTGTTTGTTTTCCACTCACCTCCCATGAGGAAAAGGAGGCCAGCCACATACTGCATGAGACCTCTTTCCCAGCAACAGCCGAGCAATCCAATAATCCAGCCAAACAAAATGATAGCCACGGCCATGCCCATAAAACCAGCAGTCATCCGCCTCAGGTCTGCAGAGGAACAGAGGGGAAAAGTACCTTTTTGGTTTAACAGAGATTTGCAAAAAGTGCTGCAGCACAGAGACAGTCGGACACACATGCAGAGGATGACCAGTCAGAGCTGAGTTCATTGGAGTCCTTATGAACTGAACATTTATGACAGCATTCAATTTAACTACACATATGTTGCTGAATGTTTCTGAGCGTGGAATTGGTAATACACCTGACATAAAACAGCCGTCTGATTTAGGCTACTGTACAGAGGGAATCTAGCCTGACGTAGTCCTACTCAATTCTAGTCAGAATGAGTCGGATGCTGCTCCATAGAGCTGTGATTATGGGGCGTGTTTCGAACGAACCAGGAAAAAAAATGCCTCTGCACTCAATTGGATAGACCTACAACCAATAAGAGCAACGGAGTGCGTGACGTATGTTAAGCGACGCATAGTTGTTGTCCACAAAAATCAAAGCGTGCAGTTGCACGCCTAGAATAAGAAGATGAGCCTTGATGGCGTTTCTCTGTTCCTCTTTTAAAATTAATTTGCTGTCGATATCTTCTAGAACAGACCTAATAGCAGAATCTACTCACCCAAACTCTCCAGCGGCAGCCATTATTGTCGTCACCCAAGCGCGCTTTGGTCACGTGGTTGATTACTTACTCTTGATCATCTGTCCATCATCGTATAAAGCCCGCCCTGACAATTTGATTGGATCGCCTGACAGTGGGCGATAATACTCGCGCTACTATGGAGCAGAGCCAGACCGAACTTCCCCGAACTCAAACCTTGTGGGCGGGACTAAGTTCGGACTGGCACCCAGGCTAGAGGGAATCTGCACCAGGATACACTTCTCAATCTTCTTCAATGTTTTATAAAATGGACGGTTTTAGTGCTATAGTGTTTAGAGAATTCCCCATTATTTCAAAGTGATATTTAATATTATACCTATGTTCTGGGCCGCTGGAAGTAATTTGGAACAGAGGATGCTGTGAAATTTGTTTCTGGGAAAAAGTCCTATGAGCCTATAGGCCTATTCAAAATAAAATAAATGAATAGATTGAGATTCACTACTTTACTGTCATATACACTTCAGCGCCTGCAACCAGTGTCTGTAACACACAGACATCATCAGTTCTCAGGTGAATATATGCGCTATTAGCTTTTATGTATTTTTTTTACTGTTTTTAAGTCTGCAATTGAAATTGTCTAGAGAGCTGTTCTAATTTCTTTTTGTTTACACTTGTGTTTTCAAAATGACAAAATAAATCTGTATAAGTCTAAGTCTAGAAGCAGGAGAGTAAATGGCAAAGCAGGGCAGGATGTCTTTGTGACTGTGAGCAGGAGAGAAAGATGCTGAGCTTGTTCCTGAACTGATCATGTTGAACAATGTCTTCAATTCATTGGCTCTGTCCAGACTTTATCCCTTGTGATCCTTGGTTTATTATTTGGGAAGTATTTCACTGTTCTGGTAGGGATGGTGTTATCTACACAAAAGTTTATGTAGTCAGTCAAACACTCAGTCATTGCACTAATGTCAGATCCATGTGGCTGACACAGAGCATCCCAGTCTGTAGGGCTTGTAGGGCTTCTTCAGCCTCCTTTGACCATCTTCACTGAGACAACATGACCAAGCTTGATTGTATTGATGGAACAAGGCTGATTAAAGATTCAGAAATGTTCATCCACTGTGTCATGATCTTGGCACTGATGACTGGCTTAATGGTTCGTTCTATTCACCTGCCTAGCTCCACCCAGTTTCTCATTATCGTTTATCTCATCCACCTGTTCCTGCCTCTCTTTACGTTTTTTTGTCCCCAGTCATCAGTGCCAGAATATTTGAGTCTTTGGTGAGAGTTCCCTAGCGTACCATGTGTGTTCTTCTGATTGCCTGATCCTAACTAGTTTCTACCTTTGGACCTCCGAGGCTGCCTGTCCCTGTTCTGATCTGTTTGCCTGAGCTGTCCTGACCTGGATCTGTCTCCTGACTTTGAATTGGATTTCCCTTCAGTACCTCTTCGGATCTCTGAGCTTCTGGCCTGGACTCTTGTTTACCTCATCAACATTGGCTTTGGCTTTGCCTTCTGGAAAGTCCTGCTGTCCCTCGTCTGCTTGCTTCTGCCAGTTCAGCAGCCTTCTTGCCTTTGGCTCCTGAGACTCTGGCCGGCATCCGCTGAGTGCTGTGGAAAATCATTTGGTTCGGCTCCACTCCTTTCTCTGGGCTCTGACTGAACTTAAAACCAGGTTAGTAACTGACACGCTCGTAAACATCCACTGTCAGATTTACCTGGTCACTAACCTGAGTTTTCCCCCTACAGAGATTTCAGCCTGCTAGCTGCTGAGTCACAGATTTGGCTTGTTGTCAATGAATGCTATTGTAAATCACGTCAGTCTGTCTGCCTGAAATTCTGGGTCCAAAGTTCTGAGTCCTGACAGAACAATCTGGCCAAAAAACAATCGGCAGACAGACAGTGGGGCTAGGGCATTGAAAAAAGCATTTCTCGATGTGAATCAGGTATGAAATCCAAATCCATTTGCGCAATCAGGCTACTCCTGCTCCCTCGCTACCGCCCTCTTTAGCTCCTATGTCTACGTCACCTGTTGCTAGGTCAATTTGTCCCGAGTATTCTAGGGGTGACTCAGAACATTGTCTAGCTTTCTCAGTGTGAGATTTCCCTTTGATTCCTTCAGCCCTCCGCATTTCCCTCTGATAGGACTAAGATGGCTTATTCAATATCACTATTTGCTGGAAAGGTGAAGCTGTGGGGAACATCTGAATGGCAAAACAATCCTAGCCTGTGTAACTTATACAATGACTTTTCAAGAGTTTTCTGTCCAGTTTTTCCCAGTAAGGAGGCGTCAAGAGGACTCCTTTCTTTAAGACAAAGAAATCGGACTGTGCTGGAGTATATTATCGAAATCCATCTGCTAGTGTCAGAGAGTGCCTGGAACAAGGATCTCTCATGGATGCGTTTATCACTGGAGTGAACGAAAGGATAAAGGAAGAACTCTCCACCCCGTGACTACCCTCAGTCTCTAAAGCATCTAGAGGATCTTTGCCTCCTCGAATGGCACAGGCCCCCGAGAGGAAGGTTATATTCTCTGTCAGCTCCAGAATCACAAGCCACTGAAAAATATATCTCTGGTTCGTTGACAGCCGGCATTATTCGTCCTTCTATCTCCCCTGCTGGTGCGGAATGAAGAACAGGCAAGATATCAGATCCGAGCAGACAATGAAAGACAGGATAATCCAGAGGGCGAAGCCAAAGCCAGTTTTGAGGAGGTGCACAGGAGTCCGGGCCAGAAGATCAGAGATCCAAAGAGGTACCGAAGGACAAACCGGGAAGCAGGTCCAGGTTCAGTAAACAGGCAGAATCCAGCAGGAGTCCGGAGAAAGGTCAGGCAAACAGATCAGAATGGGAACAGGCAGGCTCAGAGGTCCAAAGGCAGAATGGGTCAAGATCAGGCAATCAGAAACATTCAGGTACACTAGAGAACTCACACCAAGGGCTAGAATACTGTGGACCTGATGGCTGGTTGAAGGCTGACACCATCTAGTCGTCTAGTCCTGGTGACTTATTGTGATTCAGTCTCTCTAGTCTCCTCTTCACTTGACCTCTAGACAGGTGGAAATGATTAGGGAGCAACACCACCTTCTGATTTGATTGAGGACAAATGCATTAAAGAAGGAGGCTCCATGGAGGTGGAAGACTAAACATTTGAGGTGTAAATAATAAAAAAATAAGATTAGAAGAAAACATCTCTCTGGCTTTGGGTCAAAGGAAGGTGAAACCTAGATGCAACTTTTTGTGCTTTACCTTTTATATGTTTATCACGGACAAGGAGTTTTCCTAATAGAGTAAAGAAAATTCTTTATATTATAGTTATGACTATAATATGAAACATCCAAAATGAAGGAAATAGCTCCTAAAGTATGGCTCATTACGGTAGATAAGACGGATAGTAAAAAGGTATATAATTAAGCTAAATAAGTTGAAAGAATAATACGGGACGTATCAGACTTACGTAGGGAGTGCCATTCATCCTGTCGTATTGTCTTGGTGATGTTGTAGGACAGATTTTTGGGTATGGCAGCAGATGAGTAGTGGTACTTGATGTAGACGCATCTTTCAAATGAGCCTGCAGATAATCAAACAAATACAACTCACTTTTACTTTACTACTCTTAAATACTAAAACCCAGACCACAGAGACATTCACATAAAACAGGTGTTTCTGTTCCAAATGACTAAAAACATTAAAATCCATAAGAAATGTTCATTTTTAATTGAAACTTCAAATTAATCAGAGACAAAACACAAGAAAACCACCAAGTCATATGAGACCAGACCCTGAATAAAGATGCTTAGAAGTAGCCTGGGAGAAAGAAAAGGTCATTTTTCCTTAAAACAGGGTTTTGGCTTCTTTTTATATTAGTTCTGCCGAGGACATTATGTGATGTCTACTATTGATTATGCTTTTTGTACAATTACCTTGGGTGTTTTTAAAAAACTTTTAAAGAAGTCTGCATCAATTATCCAGTCTAGTATAATGATTTAACATTAGTTAGTTTGTCCGTCACAGTACATAAAAGCGATAGAAAAAACACACAAAAAAACAAACTAACAGAAAATGACTGAAAATTGGACCCAAAGTATAATGAAGAAAAGTATCTGTGAGGATTCTCAGACATCCAGGTCACGGTCAAGCTTGAAAAATATAGTTTAGGCAATTTGACTTGAAATTTGTAGAAGACTTTCAACAAAGAGACTTCCTCAGTTCTGAGTTTTTAAAGATTAAAGAAAAGTAATTCTAATTGCTAACACCAGACTGAGCATCTTTTATTGTTGTTTTGTATATACAGATATTCATTTTGTACAGCTTTTCATGATATTTCCATTCCTAAAATACAGCAGTGATCAAATCTAAAGTGTGGGAGAAACAAAAAAACATTGTGCAAAAAAAAAAAAAAAACGTTGATATGGCAGTTCACAGCATTAATATCTATGGTGCAAATATGCAGTATTTGGTGTTATCAGTGTCTCCTGCTTAAGAAGATCCCACAGGTTCACTAAAAAACACTTTAAAATGTTGTTAGTTTCACATAGGTGACTCTAACGGGACTCTTTTTAATATCCCCATTAGCAACATCATCCAGCCCTCCGATGTGACTGGCTACGTCAAGGTTGGATGTAATTATGTGATCTGTGTTATCCTCTTTGAGATTTCAGACACCATGACACCATTCAGCCAACATTATTTTCATGTTTTTCTTATTGTAGAAAAAATTAATTTCACTCAAAGCTTCTTCAGTCGCTATTGATGTTCTTGCAGATGTTTTGTTACGATAATGTTTACTGCGCTGTCACGCCTTGACGATTTAGCCACCATATGGCAACGTACCAGAAACTTGGCAAAAACGCTAGCGTACGTTGAATAATTTACAAGTTATTAGCAAACTGAAGCAGGCTGGCACGCGACAGATGGTAAGTACTTCAATAGATTTTAGGTATGCCAGCGAATGCTCTTACATGGGCTAGAATTTACAGGTACATCGCATTATTGTGACACGCAATAATTTTAAGTTCCTCATCAGTCGTGGCGTCTAGCTTATCCTAAACCTCTGAGTAACTTGTGCATTAATTCTGCATAACTTATCCAGAACTTCTCTCCAAGCATATCAAGGTATCTGACGTGTTCCAGACGAGCGCTGAACGTGTTTCTAACTTCCAGCTACTGTATAATGGCGTATTGGCAGCGTTTTGGTATAAAGGGGGTTCACAGGAGGAAACCATCAGTTCTCCTCCAGACTTCATCCTCATCATAGGGTGAGCCAGAAGGTGAGGGTGATGGATCCTCCCTGCGTTCACGCCCACCACCAACACACTTCCTAGCAGACATGACGCTCAATCTGCTGACACCGAAAACCTCCTTTCTTTCTTTCTTTCTTTCTTTCTTTTTCTTTTTAATTATTTATTCTTTTCTTTTGGGTGGGTGATAAACAGCAGCCAGGTGCATCGCTGCCCCTCTCAGGACACTGGCTGGTGCATCATTTCATGGGCATTAAGCTGCCGTGTGTTATGCAGAAGTTAGGCTGTGGTTGGACAGAAGTTCTGGACTCATTATCAATACTCTATGTTTACACCCAGAATAGAAACATTCCATAGAAAGTTCAGCGTATGGCAGCGTTTTAGGAGATTCTGGGATGTCAGGCAGATGCTGGATAAATCAGCAAGGTGTGACAGCGGCTTTATGAAGCATTTCATAAAGCTGCATTGCTGCTGTGTCAGTGCTATGTTGCTGTGATGCAGAGACTTGGGTTGGCTGCTTCACTCCTCCTTGTGCCTTCCTGGATGGACCCACGTGATCAAACACTTTCCAGCCTCCACTTTGCCAGCTACTCATCTTTCCATTCAAGTTTCTGATTCATCTGCAACCAGTCATCCTCCCAGAACAACCCAGGAGATCACCCCACATCCCCCAACCACCACGGGAAAACCATTAAACCATTAAAGTCAGCCAATCTGGAACCATCACTTCAGTGCCTCACAACAACAAACACACCCTTTGTTATTCTGTCAGACCATCGGTCCATTTCACAAAGCAGGTTCACTGAAAACTCTGTTTCCTCAACTTGAAACCATTAAAGCTAACCTGGTCAGCAGCAGGTTTTCTTCAGTAAACTCAGTGTCCTCTGTCTCTGCTCTCAGCCAATCATGCTGTTTTATTTTCTGATTTAGTATGATTTTTGTTGTAGTTTTGTGCATAAAAAAATTAATTATTAACTAGGTTTGTTTGACACATTAGGTTTTAAAAACAAACATTGCCTATCCATCTGATGAGGATCTTATTAAAGAATGATGGGAATTAATTCACAGAGAATGAAGTATTTATAGGGAGAGGATTCTACAACTCAGTGACAGGATATGAGATTTACGTGTCTTTGGTTGGTTTAATATGAACGACATAAGAATCATTTTAATGAATTTATTTTTACAGTACATATGCGGGGGGTGTATATTTCTAGGTATACAAAACTCAATTCTTTCTAATATAATTTTGTTTTTAATTTCCTGAAATTCAGTTTCTGCAGCAAAAAGGTATTTTAGAAAATATTTTTCTATAGTTCAGTCTAGGAATGTGATTTTAATCAGGAAGAATCTTATTTTAGTGATCTAAAAATGGAACAACACAGAGGAGAGAGTGTTTAATAAATGCTAAACAAATAAATGTCCGCATCATATAAATTTGAGCATTAACTCAAGCAACAATCTTCTTCTCCACCTTCGTCTTCTTTGCAGCTGAAGCGCTGTTTCTCTCTCCTTTAAAAACATTCTACATTTTATTTTTCTTTCGGCATTAAAATCCAGTTCCAGCGGGGTGAAATAAGCCCTTCTAGTTGCCCTGGTTTTTCATATTTGTTACACATGTGTTCAACTCTGAGTGGTTCTACTTAGAGTAGATTGAACTGATTCATAGCAGCCGTTGTGAAACCGAAAACTGAGAGTTCTCGACTTTAGGCTAGATCAATTTAGAGTTGAGGATTTGAATCTGAGTTTTTTAAATAAACCTTTTGAAATAGATCCCTGCTCATTAAAGTTTCAGCACCTCTCCTCTGGACAGCCAGCAGCCCGGGTTATGCAGCTAAAGATCAGAGTATGCGCTAAAGAGCTGTCAGCAATTGTCAGTGATTTAACCTTTTTTTTTTTTTGGATCTTAGACAGTATTTTAGTCATTAATTTTATTCCCCATTAGTTTAATTTAACGTCTTAAAGGAATAGTACACCCAAAACATGATTAGCCTTCATTTTCTACTCACCCCCATGCTGAACAAAACTCTGGAGTACTTTTTTGATATCTCAAATGCATCTGGAGATCTGGGAGGCTTCTTGCTGTCTGCTGACATTCAAATAATGGAGGTCTATGGCGCCCGAGGCAGAAAGGTCCATAAAAGTCCACAAAAAACGTGTCAATATTCCTCCATACTGCTCGTCCAATGTATTCCAAGTGTCCTGAGTGGGTAGCATCCAGAATTTACTCGAAACGAAGTCATTTAGAATGTTTTTAGAGCCTAAACAGTAGTGTATAGGATTTCCTAAAAGCGCGTTCACGACGCTACGGAAACGGCGGCAGACCAAACCAGACGAAAGTGCGGCAAAGAACTCATGCTCTTCCTCAACACTGAAGTCCTCAGACATTTTTCTTTCGTTGTTTCTTTCTTTGCACAGGTAAACAGCACATTTCTTCTTGCATTATCGGCAGAGCAGACGCTGAATGCGCACTTTCGTCTGGTTTGGTCTGCCGCGGTTTCCGTAGACTCGTGAACGCGCTTTCAGGAAATCCTATACACTACTGTTTATGCTCTAAAAACATTCTAAATGACTTCGTTTCGAGTAAATTCTGGATGCTACCCACTCAGGACACTTGGATTACATTGGACGAGCAGTATGGAGGAATATTGACACGTTTTTGTGGACTTTTGTGGACCTTTCTGTCTCGGGCGCCATAGACCTCCATTATTTGAATGTCAGCAGACAGCAAGAAGCCTCCCAGATCTCCAGATGCATTTGAGATATCAAAAAAGTACTCCAGAGTGTTGTTCAGCATGGGGGTGAGTAGAAAAGGAAGGCTAATCATGTTTTGGGTGTACTATTCCTTTAAGACCTTAAGTGGGGGGTAATAACTCAGAATGCATAAAATTCCACCAGTAAAGTTTTACCAGCAGGTGGAGCCATTACGAGCAGCTCCAAGCTGACACCAAAAGTTCCAAACCCCACAGCTCTGGAACTGTTTGGGCTAGAGGCAGTGGCACGGGAAGGGGGATGCTGCGGGGGCTGCAGCCTCCCTCGTCATAGCATCAGCCCCCCATGGTGGGGGGCTGTGGAGTAACATAATATTGTAGCCTACTTAAAAACATGAAATTATTTATGTATTTATTTTTTAAAAGACTGTTTGATATGGGATTAAAATGATGGGCTGTGTATAAGATATAAACTAATGATACATTATTATAATATTTCATAAAAAACTAGGCTACTCCCCCGGAAGCTTCCGCCACCTCACATTCATTTAGGCATGGCAAGTAATAGGCAGCAGAAACATATTTCTGACTATTTCGAGGTAAGAAATGGTTTTAATTCC